TGGGACTAGATGATCTGTAAGGTCCATTCCAACCCATAAAATTCCAGGATTCTATGAACATCTAAATTTTCGAGCAGAAAATATTGATTCTGGTATCTTGTTTTGTTTAGGATTTTTTGTTTGTTTGCTTGCTTTTTCTCTCTCTCCAGTTTGTTTTGGGCAATGTTGGCAATAGTTTTTGTATCTTTTTGAGCTGCCATGGTAGCTGCTGGATTCAGGGACAATGTTGATAGAAAACAGCTTTTGCGATAGCCACTTGAAGAACAGTTAAACTTGCCAAAACCAGATTCCAGCTGAAAACATAGGGTCAAACAAGCTTTTATTTTTGTCTGTTTTTATGGAAGTATTCCAGCATCCACATGGAAATTGCATTAAGTCACAAACATTTTGGTAAGATAAAACAGTCACACAGCCCTGGGAATGAGAATCAGTGAGAGATGAGCTCCTACTAGGCACATGTTGCAGCACAAACTATTCAGCAGTCTCTCTTGGAGGTGAGACACTCTCAAAATGAGCTACCTGCAAACATGAAGCAGGCTAAGAGGAGAATGCACCTTGGTTTTGCCCCTCTGCTATAAAGGAGAAGATTGGGCTGGGAAATACTCCTCTTTCAGATGGCCCTGACTATTCATGTGCAGAGCTTTGAGCTTTCTTCTGAGGGAAAAGAGCATGCCAAAAGCCCTAAGTGGCATCACTCTGTCCTGGTGTATATGCCAGGCATGGTATCAGACCTGCCTGATGTGATTTTCATTCTGGCAGTGTTGCATCTGTGCTTTCAGCTGCAGCAGGTGCTTTTAAGTGTATAACATGTTCTAAGTCTGCTGCAAAGTGCATCATCTGGGATAAAAGAACTTTAAAACATTTTCTCAAAGGTCACAAGCTCTTCAAAACATACAGAGAAAATTCTTAGCAGACAGTGGAATTAGCTCTTGGATTTTATTTCATAAAAAGCAATGGTCTGTATATGAATATAGATGTTTTTACTTGCTGAAGAAGCACAGGCAGTATGAGAACAGCTGGGCAGAATACCCTGGTTTGTTACTTGTTGATTCTTTGCAGACTCCGAGACATTGGCAGTAAAATGCTACATAAAAGCCTGCCCAGCCAGCCCAGCAAAATCAACTTTGTTCTCCTTTTATACAGTGTTTGGGAATACTCTGGACACCCTGTGTGAGAGCCATGTGGTGAATTCCAAGTGGGTGAGGTAAAGCATAGGGCTCTGGGGTTCAGAGGCACTGATCATGCAGTTGCCTCACCTGCTAGTTGTTCTTGCTCTAGACACTAAGTTTCCTAAGATATTAAGAAAAATGAAAATCAGTCTTCTGCAAAAATATTTTCTTGTCTTAAAAAGTGGAATTTCCATCCAGGCCCTCTGTCATACACTGGCTGCAGGCCCAGTACAAACAATATTACGTAGCACTACAGGCTACACCCAGTGCCTGAAACCTACCCAGAACTAGAGCTTTATACCTATAAAAAAGCTCTCAGTGGGAGAAGATAATAAAGAGAAGATGTCCTACAGAGCCAAAATATCCAAAGACAGAGAAGCCTTGAGGGATCACTGGTGCCTCAAAACAAGGCTGTAGCTGCAATTGGCCTGGAAATGACCTGGAAGGAAAACCTTTACTTTCAGTGGGATGTCAGAAAGCCACACACATCTTCCATTATTATATTCACTCACTTTAAATGACATTACTTAATGATACTCTCTTGATTTACATCAGACAAGCATACTATAGCACCTTTTACAGAGGATATTGTTAAAACTCTCTTGTAGAAGTCATTATTCCTCTTTATGCTGTCAGCTCTTGATGTGGATCCAGCAGCATTAGTAAAGCATAAATCCTGGGTGCTGTGGAGAACTGCAGCCTTTTCACTTAGAGGGAAATAATTCCATCCTTTTGGATCAATTGTATAACTGGGAGGGAATGTCATGAAAAAGGAGGCTATTGTGAAAAGGCATAGATTTGAAACCACATAGAAGTATGCTGTATTAGCAAGATATAAAAAAGGTGAAAAAATATTTGATCTATGGTATTTCCCTTCTGTCCACAAAATCCAGCATTGTCTCTCCTTCCTCATTCATTCCTTTCTGGCCTTCTTCAACTAGCCTGTGAATTGTGCTATAATGCTGTTTGCTGCTGTTGAAAGAGTGGAGCTGGGAAGCATCTTCCCATGCCTGAAAAGCTGGCAGGGGAATTGGTTCTGGTTCCTTGTTTTCAAAAAAGCACTTCAGGTTTCGCTCACTCAGTTTGGTGGCATACAGCTGGAAAATCTGCTCCAGTTGCTCCTTCTCCGTCCCCTCATACACTCTCCAGAACATCAGCTGGAGGTGGCTGACTTTTGACTGGCAGCTGGCACAGCAAGTGGTTAGCAGGGAGAGAAGAGCTGTGGTAACTATCACACACCATCCTAAAATCTGGGAAAGCAAAAGAAGTGAGTTTCAAGTTAAAAAGACCCAAGTGAAAATGCTACTTAAATCACAAATGTCTGACAGAGTGACCACATTTTGTAGGGGAGGCTGCTACTCCTTTTGGAACCCTACTGCAGGCATCTCATCCCAGTTTGCATCCAGTGCTGGCATTGATGTTAGTGGGACATCCATATGGAGACTGAAGGGGAAAAGTCCATCAGGACTGAGGCTTCTCAGTAGTGCTCATTTTGCTGTCTCTTTCTCAGGAAGGTAAAAGCTGTTTGATTTTTACAGTGGAAGGTGAAACACTCGTGAAGAGTTGGCTTAGACTTAGAGTCTGACTGCCTCCCCATCCCATATTATAACAAAGGGAACCTGAACCAGTGGAACAGCAATGCCAGGTTCAGAGACAGATGATCTCGAATCAGACCTCATCTACAAGACTGTCTACAAAGAAAGACCAATGAGAGGTCTAAATGATCAGTCAAATAATGTTATGGCTGAAGAGAGCTATACAGAAAACAGAGCAGACCTGAGAGCAGGAGTAGTACCTGGCTAATTTAGATAGGATATTGATGAGAGTATATTGCAAAACTATAACCATCTGGCATGCAGTGTATTAGAACTGCTCGCTGTATTCTGTCTCACAAAGGGAAATGTGCATCTGGAGCATAAAGTATCAATGGCAGATGGTTTAGATGGTAAGCATGTTCTATCTCCTGAAAGCATTAAATAAAATTGCCCCCAAAAATTAGCTTTAGGACACAATCTTGTTTTGATGAGCTACAAAACTGAAAAGGGTGAGTAACTTTTGCCCCAGATCAATCAACCTTTTAAACCATGAACACTGTTAGATGTGTTGTTTTCTGACTTCTTTTTAATTAAAAAAACCCACCCAAACACAACAACCACATAATTAACTAACAGGAATATAGATGGTCTTAAATTTAAAGTGTTCTTTAAAATCTTTTGCCAGGAGAGTCACTGAAATCTATGCTAGTCTTGTGAACCTTTTTGTCTTTGAAGAATCTGTCCTTTATAGTGGAAAGCAATTTTATTTCAAAACTGGTTCTAAATTACCTTCTTGCCGAGTCCTGTGAGAATGCTGGGAGGGAAGGGCACAACCAAGAAGTAGCATGTGCATTGCTAGGTCTGTGTTAGCACTGGAATAGAACCCAGTTCATCTACACACTGATTAGAAAGAGTTGCTGTATTTTCAAAGAACTTTGTTTTTACTGAAATATGCTTTTCCAGCATCACTCAACATTTTTTTCTTCTGTAGCAGCTTCAGAGTTTGACAAAATTCTGTTAAGAACATTTTAAAAGAAAGAGCTGCTTTCAGAGTTACTTCCTCAGTAAGGGCTGAGGGTGGAAAAATTTGCTTGAAATTGTTATTGTGGGATGTTCTCCTCTAGAGGTGTGGACACAATTTTTTTCATGCCTTGTGCCACTGGCCTAGCCAATAGTTTTACTCATCTACACCACTGCAATGTGTAACATTTGCAGAAAAATGTAATACTTGTTTTCAAACTGTGGAAAAAAAATCCAGTGTGGAACAAATATTCTAGGTTTCAGAGGGCCATATAAACTGGCACTGGTTTCCCATGCTCTAATAGTGATGACAGGGAGAGCTGCGACCTTTCTCATGTGAACTTGCACTGATGTTAAAAAAATAGCCACAAGTAAAAATTTGTATTTAGCTGAGGGAATATAGAAAGTTTCTTCAGAGAAGTCTGTGAAACAGAGAAGCTTTACAAACAATTATTCTTATGGAAGAATAGTTTAGCTTTTGTTTGGTTTTTTCCCAGTCACTTTGTACTGACTGATGATTTCTATGGGTATTTGAGAAATTGCTCTTTTTTGCAGCTTTTCACTTTCTTGCAGTTTGAAAAATGAGTTCATGTATTCGTGTGCTATAAAGTGAGTCAGTCACTGGTCTTTCACTGTTTCCTAGACATACAACTTAAAGTCTTAAGCACTACTTGTTATTTCCTTCTAAAACTCTCAAATAAATTGCTTTGTCTGCAGTGCAGGCTTTGTCTGCATTCCAGTCCTATTCACATGAGGACTTGAAAATAAAACTGGCTCTTGGGGAGGAAATTGTTCCAGATGGATACAATTGCTTGATAAAAACTTGCTGTCTCCACAGAGTGTTTTTCCTTTCCTGCAGCCCATTTTTTTCTTTTCTCCACTGTTTTGATTTTTTGTCTCTGAATTTATTTGCATTACAAAGCAGTGAGCAGAACTGTATGGTACAAACATTGTAAAATGTAGTACGATCTCAACTTTGCTTGTTCTGCTTGCTTTATTTTAGCATTTCTTCCTTCCTCCAAACAGCACAAAAACATGCTCACATCTGGCACCATGAACAGGAGGAACACAGACAGAAACACATTATGTAAACAGTTGTAAATCTGTCATGAATCTTATTTTCTGGTATTTTTTCTACAGTTAGTTAGTTTAAGATTTCTTTACAGTTATTGCAATGATCTAAAAAAGAGTGTGGCATGAATTTTTTAACAGGAACAACCCCTTTAATGGGGTGACATCTGTTAATTCAGTCTCCTAAACAATCCAGTCAGGTTTTTTTCACTTTAGAGCAATCTCCATTCAGGAAGAAAGCTTAAAATTTTCTGCTCTAATTGACCCTGCTATCAGGGTAGTATGGAACAACTCAAATCGAACCAAAAGATGAACTGATAACATTGTTTGTGTGAAACCAACGGTTTTAACGTCTGATGTATTTCCACAGATAAATCCCAGCCGCAGTACAATCTGCATAATGCTCTTTATTTATGTTTTTTTCTCTTACCTGGGACTGTGCTTGAAGTGTCCGTTTCAGTTCGTCGCTCTCTGAAAAGGGCATGGAGCTTTCGTCACACACTACCTTGTGTAGCTCTTCAAAGCACTTTTCAGATTTGCTGTGGCAAACTGCTTGTAAGTAGGCAGGATTTTTCAAGCCACTCATGGCACATTCATAAAAAGTCCCATTGAGCAAAGCCACAGAAAGCCACATCACTGGAGCTACCAGAGCATTTAAAGTGATTTGTCCAAAGATGTAAAAGAAATGGCAGACATTCCCTCTGGGAAATATTTTCCTGGGATTCACCCAGCAGCCTGTAAAGAGTTTCCATGTCTTGCTGTTCAAGAAGTATCCAATAACTAGCAAAACAAGAGCTGGGGAGAAGAGAAACACCAAACCATACCTGAAGTTTTCATTGCTGCAAGGGCATCTGAAAGCAACAAGAGAAAACACACGTTCACCTCCCATTGTCAGCAGCGCCATAAAACTGTAACCTATCGCAGTTTTCCGGTTCATAAAGAACTTCAGGATTGTCTGGAAAGCGTCCATGACTGATACTCACTGAAGAGGTCAAAATCAAGGCACGTTTGTCTTCGGTGAGTGCAGTGTGCAGAGGGGATTGGTCTCCAGAGGACAAGCAGTCTGCAGCTAGTCTCCCACGCACTGCCCAGAGAGCCGTGATGTCACTGCAGAACAGTGCTCAGGGGACCTGCCACCAGCAGAGCAGATGTTGGCATTTACACTAACATTCATCAGTAGTAGAAGGAAAGAGATTTGATGCTCTGTGTAATCAAATAAGTTTGCAGTCCTGGCACTCTTGTTCTTGGTGGGTTGTTGTTTTTTTTGTGACTGCAGATGGAGAGCAGAGTGAAAACATACACGCCCTAGTTGGAGGAGATCTTGAGCTGTGATTGTAAAAATTGCTGGCTATGTAGGGAAGGACCTAATATAGATGCTAATGGTCCCAGGAATATAACATGACTGAAAGCAGAGAAGAGGTAACAGTAAAACCGCTTTGTATGGGGTTGTAAATGTATGAACATCAAAGACAGAACAAACAGCCTTGTGCTGTGTTTCCCTGGAGCATCACACAGCTCTGGATTTGCATTGCTGGCTCAAGCTGAGAAAAATCTTGTTTGATTTCTAGCCTATCTGGCCCTTCCTCATATTTTCCTGGGGTAAAACTAGTCTACAGGATGCTGCATTCTTTAGTTTCATTTCTTTTTTTGTGTTTGCACATGACAGATTCAAGCAGCAGAGTTTCATCCTTTTGCAGGTTGCTTTCAAGATGTACCTTGGGGTCACCCCTAGTGTGAGTTGCAGTAGTCCTGCAGGAAATGAATTCTCCTTAATCCTTGACAAAAACCCACTAGTGGATTTTGTGGAGGAGCTGCCAGCAGAACGAGCATCCCTTTGCTACAGTAACCTCCTCTGTGGGGTGATTCGAGGTGCCTTGGAAATGGTAAGGAAATGCACATCTTTTTTCTGCATTCTGTTAATTCACAGAGGCACAGGAAAGTACAACCACGTGCTCAGGTAAATGAAGGAAATGTAGCATTGTTTAACCTCTCAGATTAAATGTCTATTTTTAAATAAAAGAGGACCAGACTGATCCTGGATCCTGAGGTAGAAGAGCACATGGATTGTCTCACCTCCACACTGTCTCTGCCTGGCTCTTCAGTGTCTGATTTGAGTGCAAAAGCTCCAGGGGAGCCAGTTAACACATGATGTGGAGAGCCAGGGGGTATGCTGGGTTACTCCCTGCTCCTTGAGCCTAGCTCACTTTCCTGCACAGGGATAGCCAGTAATAGTCATCCCTGATTCTTTCCAAATGTGTTAAGATAAATAATATTCTCAGGTTATTGCAGCACCTGCTGAAAGGGAGAACAAAGTGTGGATGAGTATAATGTTAAAACCAAAGCATCAGTAGTGTATCAGAGTTGTATCTGCTCTCCAAATTTTGTTCTGAAGTTTAAGACTTTTACAAAAGAATAAATAAAGGGCATCATTTGAAGCTCATCTACTGAGCTGTAGATCTTCTGTGGCTTATTGTGGAAGATGACTTTTGGGCTGCTTTATGTTTCTGTCAATATCTTAATTTGTCATCTATCTTATGTTTCGAGAAAAAAGCCAAACACGTGAACAAGTATTATGCATATACATCAGTCTCAGAGTTATAGCATCGGATGCAAGACTAGTTAATACAAGTGTTAGTATGTGACCAGGAAAATCAAGTATGCAATTTAGGTTCTTAAAAGAAAGGAAAGCACTGGAATGAAAGGTAATGTATTATATCAATTCCAGCGTGTATAAATTTCCTTTTTATTAACTTAATTGGGAAAGATTTAACAGTCTAGGTGTCTGTTTCTTATGAAACCTGAGAAAGGGGGTCCTCTTGTGGTGAGAGAGAGAGGGAAAGCTCGTTGTACCAGAGGAGGGTGGAAAACTGGGAATTTGTTTGCTTAACTGATCAGACCTGATTCTTTCTAGGTTCACTTAGCAGCAGAAGTTAACTTCCTCCAGGACAGGCTGAAGGGTGATGCTGTGACAGAAATAAGAATTACGTTTTTAAGGAAGCCTGAAGACAGAAAGCACAAAAGGAATAAATGAAAGAAATAGAGAGAGAAACCCTTGCTGAGGGATGTTTTGTGCCTTTTTTTTTCCAGAAGAAGACATGCAGGGTAAAAATGGCTTTGCAGAGCCAAATGCACCATTCACCTGGCTGAAAGGTGAAGAGAGCTGGACAGCAAACAGGAGGGGCAGGGCAGGGGAGAGCAATGTTAACTGTCCTGGCACTTGTCAGAGCAATGTTACTGTCATATCAGTAAAAAATATCAGAAATCACTTGCCCTTCCTTCTTACATAACACGCTCTTGAGCTCAACAATCACTTGCCCTTCCTTCTTACATAACCATGCTCTTGAGCTCGATGAAAGTTTTATCTCAGTATTTAGTGCATGCTGGATGCAAAATATTAATTTGGACACAAACTCTTTTCAGATAAAGACCTCTTCCTTTATTTGTTGGTAATGTTTCAAAGCATGGCTGCACAAAGGTGCTTTGTTCCCTGGCTGTGTGTGGTTAGGTATAAAGAATTCATCTGCTGTGGCTGCTGTGTGCAGTGTCTCACAGGTGCATGTTTTGATGTGCAATGGTTTGCCATTCATTGTCCTCCATACCTCCATCCTGCTGCTTTTGAAACCAGAGAGGTCTGTGGCTTCACTTATGGAAGGAGCTGGTTGAGTTCCTTACAGATATTCCAGGTAACATCAGCTTTGCTGGTATGGCTGTTCAGTCCTGTGCAGCAGCACTCTGATAACCACAGCAATGCTCGTGTTGCTCCAAGCTATGGCTCTTTTCATGTCAGCCTTCTCCTCAAGAGCACTGATCTTATAACTAAACTGAACAAAGCATAGTGTATTTAATATGTAGTCATTGTGGATCTGTACTTGCCTAAGGAAACATGAATAAAAATTCTGAGATTGCCACACAACTGGTTTGGTGGTCGTTATGTCTGCTCATACCTGTCCTTCACCACCAGCTGTTGAAAGTCTTCACCCTGGCAGTGGACTTCTTACCATGACATGACTGGAAAGTGGAGAAGGAGCAGACTTGCAGAGACCTGAGTTACAGAAAAGGTGTCATGTTGTTCTGTGTAATGCAAGATACCTGGGTAAAGGAGGGACAAAACCTCAGGTCCTAGCACAGCACCCTGCCCACAAAACCAGCTCACCTTCTCACCAAAGTGGTTGTTTTAAACCAAAATGCAAACAATTCAGTTCAGTGAAGTCCAGTGTTGACTCTGATTTTATCACTGTGATTTGTACCCTCTTCTCCTGTTTGTCCTTCTGTTTACCTGTTAATCCTGCTAAGTGAGGGCCATCTCTTACTTTGGGGACAGCAGGGTTCATTCCCATCACATCTGTACAATCCCTTTATGTGTTTATAGTAAGAAAGAAGCTTCCAAGCTCATTACATTGAGCTAGTTCAAATAGGCTCCTCCCTTCCTTCTTCCTTGGAAAATTAGTGTAACAAATAACTTCTTGGGATTTCTCTCTGTCTGAATAGTTTCCCAGTTCACTGTGTAGAAAAAGGAGATTTCTGGGAGGAGTGAAAGGACAGCTGGGACAAAACAATCTGCCTTGCATCTCTAGAATGCTCTTAAACAAAAACTTTTCAGAGGAAAAGTGAACTTTATTTTTCTTCACTCAAAACTGGTATCTTTGTTTCTTATAATTAGATGTTTTTTGATAAGAATATTATTATTTGCTAATGTGGATTGCAGATTTATAATGTCCTTGAGTATGTGGCTGTGCTGTAAATGTCTGTTAATATATAAGCTTCACCTACATTACTCTGTTATGCATAAGCCTAACCACTCAGAACAGGTTAATTTACACTGAGACTTCATGCTGGACAAAGTTAAATAGTGTATTTGGCAGAGACATCCAGGTGTAGTTTAGGTACTGATACCAAGGTCAAAACACTACAAATAAGATTATATATTTTAAAAATCCCATATTAATTATGTACTTTTCAGAAAAATAAATAGAAGAATGTACATGCTAAGTGTAATGTTAGTATGTTTTCTCTGCAGCATTCATTCAAATGCCTATTTTTTTTCCATGAAAGACCTTTACAATTAGAGAAAATGAGCAATAGAGATAATTAGGAAGGCCTGCTGCAAAAGGTGATCAAGATCAGGCAGTGGTAATGAAAATTCACTGTCATGGGCCTTTTTTGCTTCACTGTTACGACCTAAAGCTGCTGAGCACATAGAGATATAAGATGACTGGAGTCTTTTTGCTCATCTATTCAAACCAATAAGCAGTTGAAGTCATTAGATGAACCCCTATGTTATGCACAGGTAGCTCCAAAATGCTAATTGCTTCCCAGATTTTAAAAGATTCTGTCATTGCCTTAGAAATTAATTGACTGAAAGTAAATATTTTAATCTAGATCTTGTGCTAAATTCTACTGAAAGATTCATTGTCAAGTGAGAACTAATAAACTAAGCTGAACTTCTGATCAAATCTTCCCTTGCTTTTTGTCTCTTTGATAAGGTTTGGTATTGTCTCTCCAGCTGACAAGTGTCCTTAAGGTGTTTGGTGATAATCTGACAGTATGTGCTGATGTCTTTGTGGATGCTGATTATTTTACACACGTGACTCTTCTTAATGAACAGCAACATATGAACACTCCCATCATGACAGATGTATTCATTTGAATGTACTTAAGCAAAACTAATAAAGTGTATTTGAAAAAATAGATCTGCTGAGGGTTACAACTGTCATGTTTTACATACAATTTGCATAGCGTTCAGTAAGAATACAGAATAAGACTTCTTGTATCAGTAGGGTTAGAAGACTGCCACCATTGCAAAGGATTTATTGCCTTAAAACCCTGGTTTTCTTGTGCTTGCTTCATTCACAAATCCTAGGACAGTGGGATTCTGATCTCCTTCCTCAGATTTGGTGCTGTTGCCTCTGTTTGTGTTCATGTACTTGTGTAATATGCTGTAATACTGCTCTTGTGAACTGAAGGTATATAAGAACGAAATCTTTGGCCAGTCTTCATTGCTGGGAGTCTGAAATGGTGCTGGGTCGGTGGCTTCAAAAAGGCAATTTACATTTATTTCTGCCAGCTTGGTTGCATGCTCTTTGGCTTTGATCTCAAAGAGCTCCTTTTGCAAGTGAATGTTTCAGAACTTGTGCTGCAGATAGCAGACTGGGGAGTAACAGGAGCTGACACATGTTGAAATCAGTGCCACAGTTGTTGTGCTGGCTCTCAGGAACCATCCTATCAGCTTGGAAAAGAGATAGGTTTTGCATGGCCATGAGTAGGAGTATAGAGCATAACATAACCTTGAAGAAGATATAAAAACTGTAAGCAAAGACACCAGAAGTGCATGTAACAGTCTGTTTGCTGCCAAAAAAGGAGATTCCATATGAATGATTCAGCCTGCCGTACAGAGCTTCTGCACCCCGGAACTAATCTTGTTGGATTAGGGATGAATACCAAAAAAAGAGAAGGTGAAGTTGTTTCCTCAGTTATATACAACTTTCTTAGCTTTAAAGGCAAGATACTGACCAGCAATTTCTGCAGTTGTGGTCAGATTTATGGCCCAGAGGGTGCAGGATAGCCCTGGCTGCCTCTGCTGTGAGTCAGCTCTCCTGCTGTGTTCTGTCTGCTCATGGGAGGGAACTGCTCCCACTGATGTCTGAGCCTGCAAGAACAGCCAGGAAACACAACGAGCAGGAAAAGTTGTGTCCTGTATGTTTTGTAGGCAGGACACAGATTGACTGTTGAATATGGGAGTTCATTCTTGTTTTATACCCAATTTTAACATCCTTAGAAAAGTCTCAGAGGTCCCATCACAACCAAGTGTCCTAGTAAATGCTGGTGCCTCCTGTACCCAGTGCTACTTAGCTAGAAGCTCCAGGCAGAGATCCTGCAACATCCCATTTTACCTCAGGGTATTTTTTTTTTTCAAATGAAAAATTACTGGGTGCTAAAGAAAACAGAGTTTGTGTTCTTTTTGGTTCTTAATTTTGTTGAAAGTAGATGTTAAAACTCTTGGTCAGTAACAAAAATGTTCTCACACTTTTTCTGTTTTTGTTTGACTGGATGTTTCTTTTAGATGTCATTGCAATATCAGTAAGTCAGGTTTCCTTGTCTTTCTTGCCCTGTCTGAATTCAGTGGTATAGAGTTTGCCCTTTGTCAGTCTTTTTCTTGGTGAAGCAGCACACTAAATTTTGAACAAATGTAAACACTGTTTTGTTTTAATAAGCATCTGAACTAAACAGGAACTTATAAAAATCCAAGTAATTATAAACTTTTATAAACAACTTCCTTAACCAGACTTAATGTTTTCCTGAGAAAAAGTTACAAAACCTGATTTTTCTACTGGAGTTCAGTCCAAAGCCACACAAACCTAGAAACAGAACTGGAATGCTGCCAAAATTTGGAGGTTTCATTTCACTCCGAAAAAAAAATAAATCACACACACTGTATTTTTTTTTTTTTTAATGATGCAGTTCAAATGATCTTCAGCAAAAGATCACTTTAACAAGACAGGTATATATTTTAACTTCTCTTCTAGAATACAAGAGTGAAATTATTAATAGGTTCAAGTGCTGCAGTTCATAGTCCAACAAGCTGTCCTTGTTTCACTTAGCAGTTCCCTGTTGCAGGGAGACATCAACTTTCCCTCTGTTAGTGACCTCAGATTCCCATCAATCAATGCCTTTTTACAGAAGTTTGAGGTATTAGAGGTGTAAAATGGAAAAAGAAGAGTTCATACATATCTAAGTTATTTGAGAAGAAAACTTGCTGTGCAAAGTTCTGGTTTCTTGGGTGGCTCCCTGCCCAGCTTTGGAAGAGAACGTGCTCACTGCACAGTATCAAGGTCAAGCAGAGACCACAGTGGAAACCCACTCCAGTTATCAACAGCAAAACAACAGAGAGCTTTGTTTCTATAAAAATAGTTTGTATTTGTCCACACATGCATTGCAACTAGCAATGGCTTAAACCTCATCATCTTTTCAGTGAAGCTTTTCAATTAGGTACCAGATTCCAAGTGTGAATAAAATGTGAGAAAACCACCCAGA